CGAAACACGAAAAGATTCTGCAAATATTCTGAATTCTATCTCTGATATCCTCGATTGAGTGTTACCCAAAGAGGAGATCACTTAGAGCCATATTAACTTACAGTCCATATGAAATGAAATATATAAATAGACTAGCTAAGCAAATTAGCTATTTGATACGCATCTGTGGCACACAGACAGCGAAACCGTAAGGCTTCAAGAAGTCTAATAACGTGATCAACGTGATCTCTTGAGCATAGTTAATTTTTATTGCCATTAAAGAGGTTTCTGAAAACTCAATCTGTAACGTGAATCTGAACGCAGAATCGTGATAGATTCAGGTAGTTGTTTCTTTCACACTCGTCTCAACTTTTCAACATAAAACTTGATAAACAGACTTCTTAACACTTAAAATGTTGCCCAAGTTGTTGTTGCTGTAGCTGGTGTTATTGTTATTGTGGTCTCACAAGTTTGTTGAGTTACCTGTTGACAAAATCCCGCCGCCTGCCCCAACATCCGGCCAGTTCGAGTTCTCTAAAGCCAACTAATGGCCAGTTCGAGGAACGAGTACCATTTGGCTAATGACATCTTTGGCTTGTGTTTAATTGTATAAGCTCAACTGCCTGCTGCTGGCGAGTATTTCAAGTTGGAAATTAAATGGCTTATGTTAATTAATGTTTATGCCATATAACGCCTGCTGTGTCTCGTTTACCTTGCAGTTGGCATTGGTCTTTGATACGAGCCAGAGCCTAACTTACGTACGGGTCCAGTTTCTAACTAACCAATTGGCAGCTGTTTGGTCAGTGTAATTACCTTTTGTTCGATAACTACTTCAATTACCCATTATCCAGCCAGCAGGTGAAAATTCCTAAATTATGCTTTAAATTAACCATAAAAACAACAGAGTTTTAAAGCCACCTTTGGAACGACAATGAGAATGCATTTTACTATGCAAAACTATTTATTATTTATTTATTTATTTATTACTTAGCCTGTTTATTCTTCTACTGGGTGATAAAAACATGTCAATTAGTTATAAAAAAAAAAGAGTTTTAAGCTAGAACAGATTTGGTGTGAATTGAATTGTTTGTGTGGGCATTGATGAGTCAAGCCGATCTATTCGTTTTTCTAAAAGCTTGAAGACAAGTTTCTGTACATAAGGGCATACAAAATGATATATGATTTTATCTGCCATATGCTCATTTAACTAATTCGAAGAATAAAATGAAGATTGACAAACTTAAAACTTTAATAATTTCGACCTAGAACTTTGCACTTTGTCACAACGGTGATTTGATTGCCAAATGCCATTTGTGGCCTAATCGAGGTAAATTTTAAATGCATGACATTATTTGAAGTCGGCTTTATTCATGAGAGAATATTTCTAATCGGAGTAATCGAGAGCCAGTTTAATTTCCTTGGCTCGAGACGGCTTTGTTTCGCCTCTAATTGCCAACTGCCTTTTATGGCCAACGCCGAGACGTTGACATTTAAAGCAGCGCCCACAACATCCGCTCAGGCAAGCGGCCCAACCCGAAATAAACACTTTAAGCTCAGGAATTTGCACGGTTTTAGTATTGTTATTATTATTTTTCATTTTTTTTGCTTTGTTTTCAAATGCTTTTGCACAAATATTGAATCAGTCATCGCCCAGAAACTTCAACTCAAAGACTCAGTCAATTTTCTATGCATAGCCAAGTGAATAAAAATAAATTTGTTGTCCCCGCCCCTCATGCGGCCCGGCATAGTTCCAAAGACAGAACGCAGGTGTATATAAGTGTATACATATATTTACATAACGATAAACATATAAATAAACACCAAAGCAAATGGAAAACGGGCAGCAGAACAAACGGCAGCCACGCATAAATCTCACGTGTAAATGTGGAACAAACAACTCGCCCATCTCTCGTATCTGAGATCAAAGTTGTATTTGAATATCTTCGCTCATCTTGCGTCTTCGATTTTTGGCTGCAGGGGAATCTTCCTGTGGTAATTTGTAGATCTGGTGTGAATTGGGTGAGGTTGCAGCTTGATCTATGGCTTTGGCTTTTGACTCAAATGGAGCACACTAATTGACAATGGAGAGTGTAGACCCACTTCTATCCCCAACGCTAATGGAGCAATTGATTCGATTATGCCTCAGCTGTTTGATTCAATCAACAGACTCACTGCAGCGCATCCAACACTTACGACTTCTGTTTTGTTTGCTTCTTCATCACGGAACTTGTTTGTAAATATATATATTTCTGGATATATGTATGTATAACGAGCTTCACGCATTCTCCGCATATTTGAGCTGTGTTAAATTTGTTAAGAGTCCGGAGATTAGCCTCCAAGCGGCAATTGGCCAAATGCAACAGTGCCAAGAGAAAAGACAGAATCGGGCGAGAAGAGAACTTTCTGCTTCTGCTTTGACTGCTCCTGCTGCTTGCTGTTGGTTAAACCTGTTGGCCCCAATTGGAAGTCGCAGACGAGGCGACGGTCAGTTAACTGTTTCGTTGCCTGCAAGCGGCCCCAAAAGTTTTGTATGCCAACGATCAGATAAAGGCAAATACAAAGAGTCGAATGCAAAATATTGAAATGGCCTGGCGGCACGGAACAGGTTTAATGCCTGGAACTGCTAAAAATACGAATACCTGCATCAACGCTCGTATACATGTAGCATTTGGCCAGCAAATTCTCATTCAGAGCATCAATTAAATGGCGCGGAACCCAGCTGACCGACTTTTGTGCCACTCGAATTCGACTTTATGGCTAACGAGCTGACACCCATCCTGACTGGGCTGGCTAGATCGGCAAGTTTGTAGCATGAAATTTATGCAGATTTATTTGTGTTACATTTATCTGCTGCAACTGCCATAGATATCTCTTTTTCCTTGGGCTCATCTTAAGCGCTGACCATCGCATACCTTGTGGCGAGAGTGCGATGGCTAAACTTGAAAAATAGCTTCAACTAGTCGGTTTTTGACGGTCCTCTTTTATAGTTGACTTGCTGACCATTTTTATGGTCAAATTGAAACACATTTTGTTGTTTGGTCAGCCGGTGAGACACTAGTGCCACTTGTGATCCCTTTTCTGTCGTAGGCCGCTCTAAATGCTGCCTCCACTTGGTTAGCGGCTGGCTGGGAATTGGCGCACAATTGCAGCCTCGTCTGTGGCCGTAAACAAATCGAGTATCGATGCCGCAACCAAATGCAAATGAGTGAAAGAAAAAATGCCAACAATTAACAAAAAACAAACAGCAACTCGAGCAAATTTATGTGTAACGGCGGCAAACAAATGCGATATGCAAAAGCAAAAACACGGCAGCAACTGTTGGCAGCGTCACAGTTATGCAATTAGGTGCGCGCCGAATCCCCTTCCCCTCCCACAGTGGCCAGCTGATGGCAGTGGTATTCGCGAACGGATTGCACAAAGCCAAGATTTATGCATATTAACGCTTAACCAAAACGTTGACCCAAAAAGAAAAATACAGTAGCATTTGCTGCTGCTGCAAATGCAAAAATCAAGCGTAGCAACAGCAGCAGCAGCAGCAGCAGAAGCTGCACAACAGCAACCGTTTAACAATGGGTCAACTTTCGTTCATGTTGGCGTTGATAAATGTGCCCAAGAAACAAACTCCACAAACTGTGTGTGGTTGTTGTCAGGCTTTGTCTGGCGGCAGCTTTTGAGTTGTTGTTGTTGTTGTTGTTTTTTTGGGTGTTGTCGCTGTTGTCAGCAGCAACACTTTCCCAATTAGATGCCAGCCAAATTGACGTTCAACCTCACTTGCAATCTTTGCTGGCCTTAAACGGGGCTAATGACTTAAAGACATCAATGCAGTCTTTCGCAGTCTCTTTGTTCTTACGGGTGTGTGACTAATCTTAACTGTTACAGAGGCAGCGCCTTCTTAGATAATTGTGAGAACTGAAATTATAACACCAGCTTATGACACCAATGCTACTTAAAGCTGTGTTGTCAGTAGACATGAAGCAGCCTGTTCTTGTATATTTATATTTATTATTTAAAAAAAACGACATCAAAATAAAATTGCATTATATCTGCAAATCCAAAGACCAATTTTCTAATTAGTTTTTTTTTTGTTTGAAATGAATTAAAAAATGTGTAGACAATTCTTGAGGAAATAAAAAAAATTGATATAACTACTTCTGTTTAGGAAACTGGTTTGCCTTCCTGCCAATTTGATTTATAAGCATAGTACATATGGACTTTTTGTTTATACAATTTCTAAGTTTATATACGCTTTTTAGGCAAGTTTAGTGTTCCGCAGTTTTTATGTTAATGTCATTTATTGCACACAGACTGTCACTTCCCTGGGCAATTTTAGAAAGTCATACACATCACACACTCACCAAGTTGCGGCGCAAACATCAACAAACTAACTAACAACAGCAGCAATGGCTAACAGCAACAACTGATTACTCAACAGCAATTGGAGACACTGTCAACGTGCTGTGAGAGCTAAGCACACACAGCTTTGTCGATGGCCATGTGACAAAGGCTGTGAGCAAAAAGCATGTTCAGTGAATCCCCAATAATACCACAAATATGTCGACAACATCGGCAATAGTTTCAATAATTTCATTATCAAGATGAAGATTGATTGATAGTCGCCGTGGTAAATGAATGTTTGGCTGCTTGGTGAAGACATTGAATAGTCGCCTGGCCACTTGGTCAATTGGTTTTGGCTGCATGACGAGTCGAAGACGACTAATGCAAATTGCCGCGCTTGACTACTGCGAATTGTTGCTGTGCGGCTCTCATATTTACATTCAATAATTTTGAATCACGGTGCAGAAGCTGCATTTATGTAGTGAAAGTTGATTGTTGGCTCGGTCAGTGCAACAGCCACTTGAGTAGCAGCAACAATTGCTGGCAGGGCTTGCGCAATAGCCGTCGCAATGAAAGTTTATTTTATCAGTCTTTCAGTTGATGCGCTAATAACACAACGCAACGCTGTAATGACAACAACAATTCAAAGCGTTACTCATTTACCTATATTTTCTTTGCACTTGCAGAATATGGTGGAATAAGGTGCCCAGCAGCAACGGCAACGGCAACAGCAACAGCAACAAGCACAACAGCAACAGGCAGTAAAAGCCCAGAAAATGTCTTCCTCAATTTGCTCGCACTTTACGCAAAATGCGTGGAAAAAGGATTTGTGCTCGAACTGCTTCAAGTCAAAGGATGAACACAAAGCAGCTGCAGCTGCGGCCGCGGCTGCTGCACAGCAGGGCACGAAGCCAAGCGCCCTCAAGTCAGATAGCCACACAAAGACTGATTACCCGAACAAGCACAAAACGCCAGCTAAGAGCATTATCAAGAAGGCGTTTGGCGTACGCCTCGCCACAACTACCAGCAGCAGCTTCGGCAAGCCCAGCAGCAGCAACAGCAACAGCTCCAAGTCAAGCAAAGTTTGCTTTCCCAAGCAGCTACATGAGATCATCGGTTATGGCGGTGAGTGGTCCGAGGATGATGACGATGATGACGATCATGACTTTATGAATCTGGGCAACGAGCACGATGACATGGCCATCACGGAAACTGACGACGAGGAAGCCGTCGAGCTGAAACGCATTACTCGCGCCAACACAGATTTCAATATGAACAATGGCAATCTGCTGGGCGATGCGCAGGACAACATCAAGAAATCATTTGCGGCACTCAAGTTGGGAGCACCCCAGGTGGACAAGGAGGGCAAGAAGCAAACGCTAACGATCAATGTGATGCCCTTTGGCCAGCCCATAAAGTCAGCTGGTTCGAAGTCAACGCCGTGCAAAGCAACGGACGTGTCGAAGACAGCAACAACTGCAGCTACAAGCTCCAACACTGTGACAGCCAAGTCTGTGACGGCAACAAGCACAACAATTAAGAGCACTGCAACTAGCACAGCCACCAAGAAAGTGACTACAACACTCACACCTACGCTTGTTAAGCCAACGGCAGGTGCATCAGCGCGCGACGGAAAGGACAGTCCGCCCATAGAGCGTGCGATGGAGAAGTCTCTGCTGGACGAAATCTCAGAGACGCTGCAGCAGAAGCAGAAACAAAACGAGATCAGCACTGCAGCAGCGACAGCAGCAACGTCAGTCACAACAACAACAGTTGCAAGCAGCAGCAGCAGCAGCAGCAGCAGCAGTAAAATCAAATTCGAGCTGGGCTCACTTACTGACTCGCCAAAGCCATTTCTCGACCTTAAGAAATCCATCGCGCGTAATGCGCCCATAACCAAGGATCACACCAAGCCGAAGGTGAACGTGTGCCACAAATACTCCGACACAGATAGCAATTGCTCGGACACGGAAAACGGTGTCTCCGCCTATTACGATGTGGTTGAGACGCAGCTGAGCTACGAGAACTTGCCCGATGGCAAGTACAGTGAGCAGGTGGGCGTGGCTAGCGCCCAGGCGGAGTCGAACAGCACACACTACTCCAGCTCCCAGTACATAACGGACATGCTGCTAAGCTCAAAGACTCGTGCCGCCAGTTACAATCTGCACGAGGGTAACTTCATGACCAGCAAAATAACCTCAGACGGGCTAATTGTCACCAAATGCAGCTCGGACGACGCACTGGACTCCACGGGCAGCAGCTTTGATGGCAGCTCAGACGAGGAGAATGCCTACAATATGATACGCAGCGAGTCCGACTCAGGCATTGGCATTAGCATTGGCAGCGACTATAAGAATCTGCCCAGCGGTGCAGTCAAGGGCAGCATTGAGCAGCGCTCGCTAGTGGAGAAGAAGCTCAGCGCCAGCACCAACAATTCCGACTACGAGGACATACAGATTGGCGATCAGTCTGTCAATCAGGCGGCAGTCAAGAGCCGCGAACTGCACGGTGAGCCCGACGGCAGTGCCGATCCGGACAACAAGTTGGAACAAAGTCAACAGCAGACGAAGCCGGACTCAGCTACGGAGACGATGTCCCAGCAGCTGCCAGCGCTGCCCAAGTCACCGCCGCCGCCTATGAAAATCGATGCACGTCCCTCCTTCTTGCATGGCCTCAAGAAGCCCGAGCTGCCTGCCAAACCGCTCGTCAACATCAGCAGCAGCAGCAGCTGCAGCAACAGCAACGGCAATAACAATAACAATTTGCCGCTCAAAACCTTCATGAGCAAGCGGCAGCCCAGTAATGCTGAGCAGCAATTCATCAGCCAGCTCCAAACGGCAATCTCCAAATCAAGTGAAAATCTGCTATTAGCAGCTTCAGCAGCAGCAGCAGCGGCTGAGTCAGCCAAAGATGATGCCAAGCTTAAAAAGGGAAAAGCACCAAATCCGCCGCCAGAGCCAAAACTGAGCGCACCGACTACGCCGGAGCGCGATTACAGTCTGGTAGTTGAGTTCGAGCAGGCAATCAATGCGGAGTCGTCAGCTTCCAAGCCAGTGGAAACTCCAACTGCCAACGAGATATCGCCAAAATCAACAGCAACAGCGGCGAGTGTTGCCGGAACACCCACAGCAACTAGAGCAACAAGTTCTTCAGCAGCAGCAGCAGCAGCAGCAACGGCAACAGTAGCAGCAACAGCTGCTTCAAGCCCCAGCAGCAGCAGCAGCAGTAATATGTACACCAGAAAGCCGCCTGTGGCGGCTGCTGCACCCGTCATCCGTGAAAAGGACAAGCGGGAGCGAGCAGTGATTAATCCCAAGTTTCGCAGTCTCAACAGTTTTGTGATGCAACGTGCCAATGCAACAAAGCAGCTACAGTTGCAATCCGCCAGCTCTGTGCTGAACCTAAAGCAGCCTTTGACGCCGGAGCCAACGCCGCGCAATCAGCGACACCTGTCCATGTCCGAGGAGTGTCTGGCAGCTGCCGGCTTGACAGATCAGAGCATGAAATCTCCAAAGTCACCCAATGCTTCGCCGCCACAGAAACAGAAATCGAAGTTTTCGATTAAGAAATTTCTGCGCATGGGCAGCAACGGTGGCAAGTCCAGTGAATCATTGACCAAAAAGGAGGGCAGCCTCTACACTGAGATCTGTACGGGTGACGATGGCAGTGTCGTTGGCAAGCCACGTCTGGTTATCATACATCCCATTGACATCAATCCCACGGCCGTTGAAGTTGTCAAGGACATAACGAAGACTAACGATACCGTCTCCGCGCAGACGGTGGCTGTAGTCACCGCCAAGCCGCCAGCGCCGCCGCTGCGCGCCAGCGAGGGACAGCGCGGTCATGAGGCCAACAAACCGGCACGCCCACCACCGCCGAAAAGCGCTGAGCTGCGTCGCAAGCAGAAGACGGAGCTAACTGCTACGCTTAGCTCAAGCAGCGTAGATTCCGCTAAAATTTGCGGCAATCCCAATGCCGGTGGCTCTATAAAATCTAAAGCGGACAACGTGTATGCCAATTTGGGTGAGTTTGAAAACAGATGAGCTAAGTGGGTAACTGGGACGACCGAATTCCATAAATAATCAATCAGTAGAGTGTTAACGTGGGTGTATCTCGCTCTTTCTACGATCGTGATCCAATTGCAATTCCAAAAGAAAGCGCAAACAGATCACGTTTACCGACAGCGCCCAAATACCACGGCATAAAGTCATGCGACCTTCAGAATGTGGGTCTAAAGGGCCTCTTCACCCAATGTGGCCAAGTAGAAACCACAAACAAAAAATGATCATAACTTAGAGTGGCGCTGAAAGTAGAACCAAAGCAAAACGAGTTACGCATTTCAATCAATATAACGGGCACACAGCAATCCGCAGAAGGCATCGTCGCTTCTTATAGCCATAAGCCAGCCAGGTAGCCAGATTAAAGTAGGTTAAGTGAGCGAGCCAAAGCTATAAAGTAAAATATGTAGTTTTACAGATGAACAAGCACAACGGCAACAAAAAATCGAAATGAAAACAAACCAAAGCCCAAAGCCAATGAGGTAACCACATGTGAATGCCTAGCCAGCTAGAAATGCCACCGGAAAACTGGTGAGACGAGAATCGCTGGCAGTGAAAGATTTAGAATCTGAGACCCATTTCTTGACTGTCATTTTGTGGTCAGGCCAAATGTGGCGAGAACTTGTTACACCTGTTGCTGCCGCCATCAGGTGCCGGTGAAGGGGCCATCGCACAGCTCATCAGCTCAGCACTGTCTGTGGAAAAGCTATTTGTTAGAGATCTTGGCCACTGGGCACCATTATGCGAATTGTAATTTGGCATGAATTTGGGTCAAAATCACAATTAGTGTCGCAGGTTATACAGAAAGCTAAAAAAACATGGCCAGCTGTTGCAGTCATTTGACATTGTTGTGGCCATGAAACTTGGCCAGCAAATGTTTTAGATTATATCTATAGATTCGCATAGGAAATTAGCTGGCATGCAAAACTGCAACATTATATAGATACAATACACCCAATTGGTACCCCTCTAATTTCGCATACTCTACTGTACGCAGGCGAGATCCGCTCCTCGATAGCGCCACGCAAGCCGGAGCGCACGGCGAGCATGCGGGAGCGTGAGGCACAGCTGGAGCTGGTCCGTAAGCGGGGCATACTTACCGATACTATCTCCATTTGCTCGTCAAACGGTGAGAATGTAACGACCGAACAGTCGAAGGGGTGCAACACCAATCCTTTCGAGGTTGGCAAACCGACTGCCAACTCAGCGACAGCCGGAGCACCCACTGTCAATAGCCGCACGAGCACATTCGAGCGACAGCCGAAGAAGGCTGAGACCAAAATGTCCATATCCAGCAAGCTTGAGATCTTTGAGCAGCGTGCCCAAGGCGCACACGATGCCACGGACAGTGCCCAGCGCAGCAGCCTGAAGGATTCGGTGCGCAAAATTAACAGCACCATCGATAGCTATCTGAAGGACAAGCGCGACTATGAGAACATGTACGAATTTGTCAAAATGGGAAATGGCACTAGCAGCTCAACAACGACAGCCACGGCTACGACAGCGGCACCAACGCCTCCACTGCCACCAATTCGCAGCAGCAACCTCGACCTAGCCGCTGTGGCCGGGCAACGACTCAATGGCCGATCCAGCGGGCGCAACAATATCTACTCGGATACCGCGTCCATAGCTAGCTATACGCGCAGCGAGTACGGTCCAGTACGCAACTATGGCCTCAACAGTAGCTTAGGTAAGTTAATGTCTCTCTGGCCGAATCCCCTCTGAACTGGTTTACTTTGCAGCCAACATTCCACGCGTCATCTCGGCCTCGTATGCGGGCAGCGAGGTGGGCGAGTTCGACATCTACGCTCCGTACAGCTACTACGGCAGCGAGGCTGGGGGAGATGTGGCTACGGACATCAACGACAGCGTCTGGGGCATGCCGACGGTAAGTTAAATCAATTTTAATGTTGGAGAGAACATAAAATGCCAATCGCAATCGTTTCTAGGGCAACAAGAACCGCAGCAAGGCCACGAATCGTTTGCGCATGCGCAAGGGACGCAGTGTCGTGCACAAGACCATCGAAGACAACTACACAGCGGTTGTAGTGGCCAATCATGAGGCACTTGCCCAGGTGCTCGATCAGGTGAGTCCAAATGGTACACCTACCCGGCCAAATTAATAAATCGAATGCTCTAACAGCTCCAACAGACGCCAGTTGTGCCAGCCTCACTGCGACCGCTGGCCAATGCCATTAACTTGCGCTACGAGGACTTTACCATTCTAGAGGGTGCTCAGGCATTCGTCGTGGGCAAGAAGGCGTTCCATGCTGCATTGTGGACCACATCGCCCGTAACCTTGGCTCTTTCGGCTGACTGCAACCAGCTGGCGGGCGTTGGCGGCGAGCTAAGTCAAATGACGGGAGGAGTTTGCGATGTGCTTAATCCCATAACCGAGTTTTGCGACCTGGTTCCCAGCTACCAGCTGCCGCTGATGCCCACAACCGAGGTGACCTTACTACAGGCCACAATATCGGTGCTGCCAAGACTTCAGCTGGAGACTCTGCAATCAATCGGATCCATACTGAAGGGCAAGTCTCAAGTGCTGGACAAGAGCAACTTTAACTTCCGAGGCTCCATACCAAATCTGAACAGCCTGAAGGATGCAGCTGCTGCCAATGCTCTGCGCAATGTGGTCTCCGTGCAGAACCTCAGCACATTGAACGAGGAATCGACATCGTCTGGCGGTAACGCGGTAGCCAACGATAGTGAGGAGATCACCCCCAACGCCCATGCTATGCCCGCCTTCGATGATGTCATGACGCGTGAGGTGGCCTTCATAATGTTACAGCTGATCAACGGCATGAAGAATCTACAGGCCAAGGCCATTGAAGAGACGCCATTAAGTCTTTCGAATGTGGTACTCTCAAAGGACATGGATAACAAGGATGCGCAGGCGAGACTCTGTGTCTTACAAGGGTACGAAAATTAGTCTGAACTTCATATCTACTATCATTTGCTAACTCAAATATAATCTCCAATCATACAGCAATAACAACGACGACGACGAGCCCATGGGTACGCTATGCAAGTGCGCTCACGTCGCGCTGACCGACATGCTGCCCACCACGAAAATTACACCCATTCTGGGCGATATTTTGCAACAGGAACGCGCCGAATCGCTGTCCAAGGCCAAATCAGTGCTAGAGTTTGTGCTCTGGGGGCCCTCTGATGTGGCGCTCTCCGGCACGACCAAGGAACGCGAGCTCGCGCTGCAACGCTGGCTGGATCTGGAGCGGGCCACAGTCCTGCACGGCTTAGTACGCACGCGCGTCGAACTGACCGTCTACGATGAGTGTCATCTGATGTTCCTTGTGCGCTCGACGGCCAAAATGATGAACGATGCGGCCAAAATCGTATGCAGCTATCAGCAACAGGCGTCCCAATGAATAACGCCGACTTATCATAGCCTTATATTTATTGTCCAAGATTGTCACAGGCTTTTAGTCCTTTGAGTTGTAGTTTAGATATTATTGCATATGTCCCAGAGACACATATTCAATGGCAATACGTTATACTTGATAAATGATCGAAATATGGTATTTAGCGAATACTTATTATGAATTATCCCTAAAACGATTTAAACGATACGACATTAACCATATCTATATAAACCCTATTTTGCCAAGCGTGCCAAACGAACAACGCGTGGAAACTAACTTGTAAAAACTCTGTCTGCAGTGAAACTTGATTTAATCGTAGTTTACTTGTTATTCTAAGTTATTATTCTATGCAACTATTTATACTTACATAAATTACTTACTTATACGTAATAACCGTTAACAACTATTGAAAGTCTAATTTCGGTTTGTAAAGGAAAACATTGGTGTTTGTTTTAAATATGCATTCGTACAATATTGTATACCTATCAATATTCAAATAAATAAACTCGAATAAAAGTCTCTATATGATTATATATGTGTATTGCATAGTATATTTATATTGGATAAAATATAAGTCATATATACAACGATTTAAATAATTGATTCCTGATAACTGTATCGTTTAGTAGCTTTACTTTAACAAAAACAAAAGGATTTTTGTGGATCTCCATTTGGTTGAATTTGCTTTCCCTTATGGCGTCAGTCATTACTTTTCTTTCAACAATCTCCATAAACAGTCTTTTCGAATGTAAATCGTTAACAATCAATCAATTAAAACTAATTTCGTTAAGTCTTTAGAGCATTTTGTGTGTATTCTTACGCATAAACAACCAAAACAATTTAAAAAAGTTTCTCTTTAAAAGCTTAAATATGTATATATATGTATATATGTACATATGTACGTATGTGGGTATGTATACATAGTATATCTTGCAGAGCATTTAATTCAACTCTTAAATGATAATATAATAAAGAGCTCAGAGCAACTCATATCATTTTTACTCAAAGCTTTTTTGCCCATTGTTAGATAGACTCTGCTCCTCTGTCTCCCCCACTAATTTAATATTGTGTGTGCTCCCAACGCCGTATCTATTAAAAAAGCTTACGATCAAGAGTATAAAACCCGAAATAAACAAACTTGTCGCTCAGTTCTCAATAAATCGTGGCTGAAAAATGTTAGGACAGAGAGTGAAGCTACAGCAGCTAATACGGGCTATACCAATAGAACAGGTTATTTCAATTAAGCATGAATTGCTTCTTTTTGTGATTGTAATTATATACAAGTATCTTATCATTAATATTATGTTTTAAATGCAGCGTAAGCAAACATATGCTGTGAGTAATGCTTTAAACGTTGCGGAAAATGAGGCACCCGTGGGGAAGCCGATTGGATGGGACCAGGCGCGGCCATACACTGATATACCCAAGGTTTCGCTGTTTCACTTTTTACGCCACTTGATGCCCGGCGGAAAGTACCATAAGATGCAATATCCAGATATTATGTTGGATATGCGTCGCCAGCATGGTCCTCTTTTCAGATTACCGGCTTTGGGACAAGATGATATTCTTGTAACGAACGATCCTCATCATTTTGAACAAGTTCTACGGGTTGAAGGACCCTGGCCGGAACGCCCAGGGAATAACGTATTGCACCATTTCCGAACAGTGACTCGGAAGGAATTCTACAAGGGTACCGCAGGCATGTTATCAACGTAAGCACAAATTCCATGTTAAGAAAATATGGAAGATTTTAAGCAAAATTAATGGACTTTGCAGACAAGGTGAGGACTGGTCGAAGTTCCGCTTTAGTGTGAATCCAGTAATGATGCAACCGAAAACTGTGCGTATGTACTATCAAAAAATGTCAGCGGTCAACAAGGAGTTCATTCAGCGGTAAGCCAAACCAACTAAGTTGTCATAGTCTCTTGATTGCTATCAACGTTATTACACTCAATTAGCATACGTGATATTCGCGATAGCAACACACTTGAAGTTCCCGAAAATTTTGAGGAGGAGATCAATCGTTGGACTCTTGAATCAGTTTCGGTGGTTGCTTTGGACAAGCAGTTGGGACTGATAAATGCTAATCGCAACGATCCGAAGGCGAAGAAGCTTTTTGAAGCACTCTATGTTTTCTTTGAGATATCGGGTGATCTTGAAATGAAGCCTACGATTTGGCGTTACGTTGCCACGCCCAAATTCAAAAAGCTTATCAGTGCCTTGGACGAGATCCAGGAGATAACATCTGGCTATGTTAACGAAGCACTTGAGCGACTACAACGCGAGCCCTCCGACAAACCAGATCACGAAAAGAGTGTGCTGGAAAAACTGTTAAAAACCAACGAACAGATAGCCATAGTTATGGCTATAGACATGCTCATAGCTGGCGTGGATACGGTATGAAGCAGGCGTTTATACTGTATTCATATGATGTGCCTTAAGATCAAATCTGTTCTTTCCAGACAACAACCGTATTAACAGGTGTTCTTCTCTCTCTGTCTAAAAACCCGGAGAAACAAGAGAAACTGCGTGAGGAAATTCGTCAAATCTTGCCAAACAAGGATTCCGAATTCACAGAAGCCTCCATGAAGAATATGCCGTACTTACGGGCTGTTATCAAGGAATCGCTGCGCCTCTACCCCTTAGCATTGGGCAACGGTCGTGTAATCAAATCGGACCTAGTGCTTAATGGATACCAGGTGCCCAACAAAACACAGATTACAATGCTATCTACGGGCTTGCTCACCGATAATGATCACTATCCCAGAGGTAAAGAGTTCTTGCCTGAACGATGGATGCGTCCAAGCAAAGAAGCCGCCGCAAATGGAGAATGCCCGCACGCTCTTAAAGCGAGCAGCCCATTTATCTACTTGCCCTTTGGATTTGGCCCACGAATGTGCATCGGAAAACGCATTGTCGAAATGGAGCTAGAACTGGGCATCGCACGCCTTATTCGAAACTTCAATGTTGAGTTTAATTATCCCACAGAAAATGCATTCAAGAGCGTTCTTATAAATACGCCTAATATACCACTGAAATTCAAGTTTACGGATGTAAAAGACTAACAAAATACTGACATCGTCGGTTAATAATATGCTTTGTAATTTATAATACCTTTTCCTATTATATAACTTGTAATATATTCTTTCATAATATGATATATACTGCTGCATGCTATCAATAAATATGCCCTGTATGTAGTGTAAGACCTATGTAAAGGATGATTATGCGATGTGTATTATATTTGTAACTTATTCAACCGTTTAAAGTGCTTCTTCAAGATGTTTATTTACATCATCAAAAAATGTACATTTATAACAAATTTATATTGTTAAATGATCTTTTAATTGTGGGATTAAATTTAGAACCTACTTAAATATATAACACGGACTTTCTATACGCTGTGGCGTTCAATGCTGGTAATAAAAATGTATCTAAGAGAGCATATGCTGCTGTGATAATCGCAGCTTGACATCTTTTAATTCATCCACAGCCAACAGCTCAACGTCCTGCTCCTCGCGGTCGTACTTTAATGTCTCGGCTAACATAACTGCATTCTGGTGACATTTGGTCTCCTCGTGTTGGCGCATGTGATGTAGCAAGCGGAAATCCTTTTGACAGTACTCGCACCGATACAGTTTGATGTCGGAGTGTATTAGCTCATGTTTAGTCAGAGAATGTGCATATGCGAAGGCCTTGTCGCATACCTTGCATACATATGGCTTAATGCCGCGATGCACACTATCAGACAAATAAATTGAGAACAGAGGTTAGTAATTTACATTTTACTGACTATAGCCACTTACTTTTCATGAGATTTTAGCACGCTCTCGTAGAAGAATTGGCGACTGCAAAAGCTGCACTTAAAGGGCTTGCTCCCTGTGTGGGAATACATGTGTTTGCGCAGCTGTTCACGGACCTGGAACTTGGCTTCACAGAGTCTATATACACAAAAATTATAAGAAAACATAAGTCTAATATCTTTTTTGTGTACCTTGCAAGACTTACTCGCACTGGTACTGGCAAACAGCATCGTGGCGTCGACGATGTTCCATCATGCGTCCACGCTTCTCATAGAAATTTCCACAGACATCGCAGACATAACCACCCTTCTCTGTACCATCCGATGTTCGGAGCGAGTTAAGGCCAGTCCGTGCCCGCCCACGTCTGGGCTTAATGTCAACTACTCCAGGCTCCAGTCCATAAGAATGCTGTAATTCTTCATGCTCGGACTTTACTATATTCATGCCAAAGCGTGTACGACCACGCCTCAGTTTAATGTCACTATGTGTTACCGTGTCATCATATTTAGTCTCGAGTACGACATCATCATGCTCAGGATTCATCTCTATAGTATAGTTGCCCTCTAAATACTCAATATCATCTGTTATAACTTCCTGTTGTTCTTGAGAACCATCGACTTCTAAAAATTCATCGCTCTGTACATGATCATCAACGCCATCACCATGGCCAGGACTTGGTGCTTCATTCATCACAAATTCGTTCATTTCATCATCGTCAGCTTGTTGATTATGCTGGGAGCCAAACTCTTCCTTAACAAGATAATCTTCAGCTTCGTCCAAGAGGCCCAGTTCACGACAATAGTCTTCAATTTCTGCTTGCTTGCGCAGGGCCTTCTCACGAAACTGGAATGCCATGTTCAGCTCCACCTTGCATGGTTTGCAAATACCATCTGGAATCTGGTCTTTGCCATTTAGCTGTAGGACGAGAATGTATGAATGAAAATAGACATTTCTCATGGGCATCATATTTTGAAACTAAAAATACGTACCTTACTAAAAGAAATGCCCAGTAGCTGTATAAGCATTTCATTTGGAGTCTCCTCACCCTCCTCGCGGGATTCATCAATCCGTTGTAAACGCTGACTGGGCTCTAAGCACACACGGCAAGTGTTTGGACCAAGTTCAGCGCGCATCTTTTGTTTAATTGCGGTATAGAACAGTATTTTAGTGTTAAAATTTTGTCTGTGTTGTGTAAAGGTAAAGCGTCTGTCGTCTTAAGAAATCGCCATTTTTTCTGAGTAGCGATTACAGTAGTACAATCGTTATCGATAACACTGAAGTTGTTCAAATTAGATAACAACTTAATTAATTGCAACAATATTAAAAATCATCACCCCACAACTTAACAAATTTATTCTAATTAATTTAATTACTTTGAGAATATAAGACTCGAAATACGTAATTTACGCATAAATTTTTTTGCGAATGGTACGCAGCACTCATGGTAGCAAAAATACTAAACAAATATGAATACTAATAAATGAATATTGCATCAATGTATATAAAAAAACTCAACAGTTCGCCAAAAAATAACTAATTTATTATATGATTATGGCATTGCTCTCAATTGTATAAAACTTTTCATAAAAGTATAGTACTGAATATATGTACACAGGCTAAATTAAAAATTGATCGAAATACAACACGGTGTTTACAAATTAAATCATGTGGTATTTATCGGTTCTTTAAACTCTTGCAGAATCTGGTCACATAACGTATATATTTTTCGAGACGCAGAAGGAAAGGAGCTCTTATCTCCGCGAAAAATGGATTATTCCAATATATTTTGTAATCTTATTAGAATTTAGTTTCAGTGTTGGAATTACAACAATAGTAGTATTTATTTTATCTGGCGCCAAGGACGTACGCTCGCCTTAGACTCGGCTTGTCCATGCAATTGGCATATTCAAAATGGTTTATTATCTTGCGTTATTAACATCCGTGTCTTCCGTCGCAAAAATGTTCGTTGCGCCAGTTATCGACTTCGCAATCTTCATCTCCTAAAGCACGCGTCATCAATCATTTAGTGCGTAAGCTCGTCGACCAATTGAAATTTGTTAGCATCGGAAAAAAACAATAACAAACGAATAACGTTGAAAAGTCAAAGTGTGTCCAGAAGTAACTCAGAGAAGTTGCTGCTGGCTGGTGGCTCGAAGGTTAGTGTGTTGAGAGCCAGCCCACCACCTAACATGTCTGAAAAGCATGGCCAGATTAGTGGTGCGCAGTGGACGACGAAATCGGCAGCAACAGCGGCGGCGGCAACGACAGCATCAGCGGGGGGCACAATTACATTGCCGTCGCTGCCAAAGCATCAGCAATCCAATCCAAATTCCAATTCCATATACGAAGCAACAGTCGCCACAAGCCCTTATGGAATATGTGGCGTGCCTGTTCCGGTTCCGGACATTCCCACCTATACATCTGGACGGTTCCAGGCTCCACCCATCCATTTGCAAGCAGCTAAGTCAGCGCCGCTGACAATTGCGCCGATTGTGTCGCCATCCCTGACACTTACCCAGTCCCAGGTGTCTCCCACACCCACAAATGTACCTGTTCCCAGCGGGGGTTTCGTGCCGCCTGCGTTTTCAAATGTGAATAATCCTGGACCAGCAGTCAGTAGTACCACATCTGTGCTTACGCCCAATCCCTTTGCAGCGGCCGCTGGCAATGCTGGTCTTGCATTTGTCAATGCCTTCAGCGCTCAACAATTGGAGCTAGGCAAGATTATGCATGCAATGAATGCTTCTTCGGCATCAGGAACACTGGCACCTGCAGCTATCACGAGGCATCCACAACCTCCACATCATCCACACACACATCTCAGTGATGGTGGTTCAGTAGCCGTGCCGCCGGCTGCACCCAGTGGCGCAATCAATTCCTCAATTGCGGAAAATGTGATGAATTCTTTAACCAGCGACGACGAACGCATGCGACGCGTCCAGCAGGTTATCGAAACTAGTTTGGAGTGAGTGCCTGATATTATATATTTACCTTAATAATATTTATGACTCTCCATTTAGTGATACTGCAAAGGTACAGATCGCTCAAATTCTGGAAAGTGTTGCAGGGCTGAAGCCTATTGAAAAACTATTCTTGTATTTGCGTTTGCCTGGCGAGAGTGCGGACACGGATCCATTAAGACAACCACAAAACCCACTGGGTACCAGATCCGAAATTAATCACACCATCAATTGGGTGCGCTCACATCTCGAACACGATGCTCAGGTGTCCATACCAAAACAGGACGTTTACAATGATTATATGTAAGTTACCGATTCTTCACATTTAGGTGGGTGAATCTTCTGAGCATGTGGAGCCATTAGTTGAAATAATCTAATTATAATACTGACACTAAGATTTGATTAAATATGTCTCACCTTTCAGCGCCTATTGTGAACGCCTGAGTATTAAGCCATTGTCAACTGCAGACTTTGGCAAGGTCATGAAACAGGTGTTCCCTGGCGTCCGCCCACGACGTCTGGGCACGCGTGGCAATTCGCGGTACTGTTATGCAGCTATGCGGAAGACCACAAAATTGACACCGCCACAGCTACCGCAGCTATGCAAAGATGAGCCACCCGATGACGCTATTGTAACGGATGCCACTCCCGCACAGATTAAACAATCACCGAATGCGGCAACGGAAATCGATGGCCCGAAAGCCGATAATGAGGGCAACTGGGATGTTGTGCGCAGCTGGGCAGAAAAGCTGCTTAACACCAAGCTAGAAAGCATTACAGAATTAGCCACGCGTATAAAGAACAACAATGCCACAATTAATGCGACATTGGCACCCAAAAAGTACACACCCAGAGAGCCTAAAGAGAAGCGGCTACTTGCAGTAAGTTTATTATAATATACTTATAAGTACTATTTCTTATCAACTTCGCCCACAGGATATGGGACCATTGAAGAAGCGTCGTAAAAAGAAGCGCAAAGGCTCCACATCCTCGGAATCCAGTTGCAATCAACTGAGTGCCGCTCAAGATGCGGGCAGTAGTCAGGAAGCAGTCAGCGATGATCACAAAACAGAGCAGTTACTAAAAATCAAGCAGGAGATTATAGACTCACCCAGTGGCTATCTGACATCCCAACAGCTTCAGCAGCAGCAACAAGTTTTGCCGATGAATTTGGCCACAGAGCCGCGCAGTAATGCAGTCCGCAATCTAACGCCCAAACTATTGGAGCTACAAGCTGCGGTAGCAGTTCAGCAACCATTATCACCCAGTGCACTGGTTATAAAGGACGAGGCGGAAGAATATAATACCACCAATATATTTTGCAAAAAAGTACTAAAAGCGCAGCAGACCAAAGGCTTTTGGGCCAACTCTCCCAGCAGCGGCAGTGCAACTGGCGCCACTTTACTTGTACCTCCAGTAATAACGACGACGGCAGCAACACCACCGCCTCTCGTACAGCCATCTGCTGATAGTTCGCCCGCACATGTGGCGGTGCTCTCAATGGGCCCGCCAGCTCAAATGAATCATCCCAGTTCTATCAGCCCGTCAAGCAGTCTAGACACGAACACTACTACTCCGAAAGTCGCGTCGCGCAACATGATGTCGCTGCGGGCCAAACGCTTAATCGCAGAGAATGCAGCAGCCCTGGCCGCTGCTGCAGAGGACACCGGGCTGGCTGAGAACCTGGGTTTGCCACGTGAGCGCGTAATTAGCATATGCAATATGGATAAGCATGAGCTTGACGATTACTTTCTGCCCGGCGAAGATGAGGAAGAGAACTCAGAAGGGCCAGATACCGAGCTGCTTCAATATTTTCAGATGGGAGACGCTGAGGAAAAACAACTGAATTCCTTAGATGCTCAAGCAGAACAACACAGAAATCCACAGGCTGCCACAGCTACTGCAATACCAAATGCAATGGCAACGTCAACAGCCAAATTGGCAACGGCAACAGCGACAACATTAAAAACGACGCAACAGCAATTACATCAGCAGCAACAAGAGTCGCAGATGCGTCGATTAATGCCTTTGCCAACACCAGTAACAACAGCGGCAGCAGCAAATGTTGTGGGTTCTGCCTCAGCGTCTCTGGCACTAATGTCACGAAAGCATCAACAACAACACCAGCAGCAGCAACAACAACAGCAACAGCTGCAAACCATCAGCAACAACAACAACAGCAATAAGCGCAAAATTAGTCTAAGCAACGCGTCTAGTAACGGCAACAACAAGAACTGCATTTTTTTGCCCATTTCACCGAACATCAATAGCAACAGCAGCAGCACAGTTTCAACAGCGGCAGCGGCAGCTGCAGCACCAACACCAGCACCAGCACCAACACTAGCACCTTCACCTGCAACACAAACAGTAGCAGTAACAACAGCTGGGAAACTGACCACGCAGAACTGCTTTGCCAGTCCGGGCCTAGCATACATGCGACAGCGTTCCAGCCTGTTAACCAAACAGCAATCGCTTGAGTTTGACAATAACAACGGCAATGGGGATCCCATGATTGGTGCGCATAGGCGTAGACGCAGCTATGTTTACAGCTATCCCAGCAGTAGTTCTGCTTCGGCACCGCCCAGCCCATCGCTGCTACAGCCGTGCATGGGCGTCAACTGGTCTTTCCTTGGCGGCACTGGCAGCAACAACCAGTTCAGCGAGAACATCGTCAGCAGTAACAACAGCAATGTGGAGCTGCTCGTGAACCAAAATTCAATGGACTTGGAAACTAGCCTAGCACTAAGCGGTGCAAATATGGAGCTAAATGAAACGCAACGCTCGCAGTCGGTGCCATTGTCTCAGCTGCAACGCAGCAGCAACCACTCTCCTTCAACGGGCTACAACCGCTCGATTAACCAGGCCGTCACCACTGGCATAGTAAAAGATGCGCTCTTCTCCGAAAACAGCAATAGTCAGCAGTCGGTTGGCACATTAAAGCTAGGTGGCGGGGAAGTGGATGTCTCGGCCAGTCTGCTCTACGATGATGTCAGTGCGCTTATTTCTCCCAGCTTTAATAACAAGTTCGGCGGCATACAAACGACAACCACGTGCAGCTCATCAGCAGGTTCATCGAGTGGTTATAGCAGTGCTGGCAGTGCTGGCGGGATTGTGTCTCGTTCTGTGCCTTCCACGCCGCTGCCGCATCAACAGTCGCAGTTGCAGAGCTGCAACAGTGGCATAAACAGCACCAATGGCAACGGTAATACAGCCAGTGGTTTCTTTAACATCTCACCAGCCTTTAATTGGGGCGCCAGCAATGTGACCTACGGTAGTCAGTCATACAGTTCACGCAATCCTTTGGATATTTCCAAGTCGATGCCAACGACGCCCATAACAACACCCTGTTTCCGTTATAGTCCTGTCGAGTTGAATCGCGACTTCTTGATTAACGGAAATACAATTGACAGTCTGTCGTCGCCAGCTGTGGCAGCTTTCAACAGTGCCACAGATGTCGTTTTGGCGCTTAGCACCGATACGCTGATTGATGATGGTGCACCCAATAACAGCGATGTGGAGGCCATAATTGGCGCCGTCGATATACTCGACAGCTTGTAGAATTTGCCCGAAGAGAAAGCTAAATCGCAGACGAAGATGGCGAGCGAGACGCAGCCAGAAGAGCTGGTTATGGCCTGTTTGCTACAGCATGTGGATAAGCTATAGATGCCTCTCACTAACGTACTCTCATTCTCACTAATTTTCTCTGCAACCGGAAACGTGTAATCACAATTTGGATGAAAAGCATAACATAGTTAGTAATAGTGTTTTGCTTATTTATGTTGTGTTTATCTTAAATAATTGTTGTACCATATTTAATGTGCCCAATCACGAGCTTTCTCTTCGCAATTCTCTAGCACAAACGCAAACATTATTTAAAATTTGATTAAGCTAAGCTCCAATAGGTTTCAACAATGTCCAAACAGCAACTTGTTTAAATTGGAATGTCCACGTATTTTGTTCTTGCATGTCATTGAAACCACCCAGAATCAAGTATCCCTCAGGCAGTTGTTATTTGTAAGTGCGTGCATATACATTTGTTTACGTGTATGTAGTATATGTAATAATATATGCTTATGCATATTGTTATGATGTGGAAATCAGTTAGAAACTGTTGACAATTTTCCATAGTTGAACACTTTGTTTTTAACATCAATCTTTGATTTAAAAAAAAAAACAAGGCTATAACCATAGACGATTAAAAATAAAACAAAAACATAAATACTAGAGTAGAGAACCTTACAAATGAAACGAACTTAAAGTCTGAATGAATTCGACGTGCAGTGGTTTTTTAAAAATATTTATATACACATAGTAGATAAAAGATAAAAGATTAAAGATTGTAACATTTTAAATGCTCCCGTCAGGGATTGAGGTGGTTTTTCGATCCCGCGAAGAGCCCAGACTAAACATGCAGAATAGTTGTAAGCTACCAAAAGTTGAGGGCCCGAACAAGCGGCAAGCGTTCAACAATAATCATTATCAAATTTCAATGTTTAACTGTGTGTCTAGAATTACGTAACGTAACGTGGCGTATTTGTTATCAAATCAATTTGTAATTTAAACCGGCTATCAGATAGCGTCGATAGCTTAAATTGGTCGACCTTTTTTCGATTTTATTAACAGTCTATATGTTAGGTACTATGTAATTTCTTTTTTCTATTCAATTAAATTGTTATATTTTCTACCCTGTAATTAGACCGCATTAAGTGGTCATTGACTAGCATTAAGTGTTTGTTTGTTATTGAAAGTGTTTTGTTTGGAATGATAATGCATAATGAGAGCGGTGACTCCAATTATAGCTAATTCTTTAGATTTAATTTTCTGTGTAATTCACGTTCTATTATCTAGAAATTTAGTGTTATTGGTATGCTTAATGTCCTACACCCAATTCCTATGTTAATTCATCTATCCTTTGGGTTTCTTCGGCTTTGAACAAAGTTTAACTTTAAGATTTCGCTTGTATATCACAAGTTCTTTACTCTGCTAAACATTAACATTAGTTTGTTTGTAAAACAAAGTAAAATTTTTATATACACACATCTAAATAATTTCCAAATTTCAATTGTAAAAATTAAAAACACTTAAAAATATTTCGTAAATGTGCCTCAGGCTTTATTGTAAAACAATTATATTCTTGCATAAATAACTTATATACACAGAAAGAAAGATGACGAAAAGTTAGCAGCGTATACATATACACATATATATATACATGCATACATATATATACATATATGAAAATATACACTCATTTACAAAACGCAAAGTTAGAGCTAGGAAAACAATGAATTTGTCAAAGACCTCAGATTCAGCAAAGAATAAAAATAGTCAACAATTAATCAAGTCCCATAAGTTCCCACAAATACAACCGTTAGCACTGTCAGCTTAATTCTAAGCTAAACCAATATTACGCACGCATACCTATGTGCATCAGAGCCAAACAATTGAAGCTAAGACACCGGATATGCGGACCCCCTTTCCAGCTGCTACCGCCTTAAAATAAATGGAAATAGCCCGTAAGGAATATGAGTACGACTCCATATACTTATACACCATTCACCGGGAACACTTGGATAAACAAACCGACAACGATATATACTATATATATATATATACTTGCATACAATAATTACATAAAGATAACACAAATATAAACGAACCAAACTGTACTTTTTATAAGATATTTGAAATACAAAAAACAAAACCAATAAAAAAACAACAAGTAAAGTCAATAAAAAAACTTATGGAACAAGCGAATAATTGTGCTTTCCCTTTATAGGAATTGAACATTAAACATTACAGGAAATATACAGTCACAAGAATAGTTCGCCCAATTGATGAATTGATCTGATTTCAACAAACTGAACCCCTGGAAAAAGAAATCTATATAAAAAATAATGTTTTTGATTTTAATGTCTTCTATTGTATTGATTATCGTAACATGCAGAAATGCAGGGTATCTTCAATTTAGCATTTGGGCGAGAATGCTTGTGTTTTATTTATATTGCGCTAATAATGCTTTAATTAATATAAATTAATTATTGATTATTTTTTCACAGATCCATCTTGCTTTTAAGTGAAGAAAAACTGGAGCTCCGAGATTTGTAAAATCCAATTAATTCTTATATAATTTCCCCATCTATAGAAATTGTATATATATTTATTAAAACAACGCGGACTTTCTGCTTTTTGTTATTATTTTTTCGTTTATTAAACTGTTAAGTTTAAAATAATAATATTAATATGCAATAAATATTTGTTTTTTTTTGTTTTAATATACATAATAATACCGTTAAATTTAATATGCATGTGCTTGATTATTTTGAAATATTTTCATTCTTTTGTTGTCGTTATTAATTAGTTGCGTCTGCTTACTCTTCAGTATAATACTTGTATGTTAATTTGTTTTATGTAAATTTAACTATATTGTTTTATATGCATTTTACATTACATTTAAATAGCGCCAAATAATATTCCATTTGCTACAACTGTTCTGTTCTTTTGCATGTGGCCAGGGCTAGCGTTAATAGTTTATAAAATTATTGTTGTATGTAATTAGTTGTTGTATTGTTTTTTAGCCCTTCGACTCTGTATATGACAATAAATATAGGTAAAATACATATGTATACGTATAAAAATCATTTATGCGTCTTCGTCCCCACACTTTGTTCTCTTTAATTAATGCCACTTGTACACTACGCTAAGAGCACATTTTGAATATTCAATTAAATTGCTAGGGGCCTTATTGTGTTAATGTTATATAATTATTTATTTATGTATTTCGTTATTATAATTAATGTTATGCCGTTGCTGTTGCGCTTAAGACTATCTGTTAAATATGGTTTACGTATATATTTTATATATGTTTGTTACTAAATATTTTTAATATTATTATTATTTGTTAAATGCTTGTAAATTATGTTATTCCGTTTGTTTTCTCTTCAATTGGTTTCCTGATATTTCACTTGCTTTTCTCCCACTTATTATCAAACCAACTCCGCACACAATTTCACTTTTCAGATTTCCCAATGATGAAACTGTGTAACGGATTGGCCAAGCATACATATACATATATATATATGCCATATGTATATATATATATATATATATAATTATATATATTTGTGAATTGTATATGCTGCTACTGCTATATTAATTATGTATGTATATAATATATATAAAATTGTTGTTATTTCGCTGAGGTGGAAAATTCATTAATTAATAAGGTTACTTGTTGTTGGTGTTGCTGTTGTTGTTGTTGCTGTTATCCTGCCTGCTTATTGCTGTTGCGAATATTGCGCTACATCAGCTTCTTCTGTTTTATTTATATTTTAGAATATAGTAAAGTATCGGCTTGTTAATTTTGAGCAAGGCGGCCGCGAACCCGCTCTGTTTTCATTTAAAAAACTTCTATTTATGTATATTTAATATATATACTCGTAATTGTTTATGCTAAGCGCAATGAAAATTAATTTTAGAATACATAAAAAATCTTTTCAATGTGCATTTACCCATAGCTTCTATAACAAGCGTCCACTGCCAGTTGAATATTTAATTACTGTTATTTGTCAATGTTTAATTTGTAATATGATTTTGGAAGCGTCGCTGACAATTTCCGAACACGAACGGATCGATTTGAAAAACTTGTTGGTCCCGAAATGAGAAACTTGAACTGAACTGAAGAGTAAGAAGTAAATAAGAGAAGTAGTCCGCAGAGTAGTTTGTAATTAGTTTAAAAATTTATTTAAAAATCATAAAAAAACACACAATCCAAGGTAAAGGACGAAACACACAACTTAAAACGAACACAAATAAATCTATTAAACAATACAAAATAAAATCAATTCTTTAAGTCTAATAATCATAATCGTCGTAATGGTAATAATTATAAACTTGGTAATAATGAAGTCAGTAACATTGTTCATCAGTAATTGTTGGGGTTGGTTGTTGCGGTCGTTTGGTGCCTTAAGAACTAACACACTCGTGTTCAGTTAGAAATATGCTAAACTAAACTAATTACAATCCGTGAAAATAAAACATATACACATATTAATAAAAAAACAAGGCAAAAGTCGCTGCTATACAATAAGTTAACTACAAACACAATTCATTTAGTTAGAGTAAAGATCTAAATTAGCTCGATTCGAATCGATTAAAACATGATTTTCAAAAAATATTAAACATAAAGCAAAATAGACATTGCATTATTCTCATTTGTTGCGCATGTGGCCGCGGATTGATTGATTTCCCCCCGTGGAAAACTCCCTCTATTCTTTCCCATTTTCTTCGTACTACTATGCGTCATTCTGTTCAGCAATTTAACTAAATTAATTTACATTAATTACTCGAGGCGGCGGCACCACTGCCAGCGCCATTCGCCGTCGTCTCGCCCGTATTGCTACGGCTGTCGAGCGACCAGTCCCAATCCTTGCCTTTGGGTCGGAACTTTGAGGACTTGTGATGGTGATGATAGCTGGCATTTACATTTACATTTGCATTTGCATTGGCATTTGCATTTGCGCCATGATGCGGCGATGATTTCTCCTTTGGCGATTTGCCCGATTTGCTCAGCACAGCTGGCGGCGTTGCTGCCACGATGGCGGGCGCATCCAGTGCAGTTGGCGGCCCATTGCCTGCCGCGTCCGCAGCCGTGGGCGGCGCACTGGAGTTCGAGTAGGCCAGCAGCTCGTCGCAGTCATACTCCCAGTTCCGTTCGCAGAACTTTTTCTTGTAGTGTTTTTCGGATCCGCTCTTGAACTTGCGCTGATATTTGAGCGGTATGCGCAGGTCGTTGACCAGCGGTGGAGGTGTGGCCACGCTTGCAGCACTGGGACTGGGCGTACGTGGCAGCCCCACATCTGACAGCGGCGGCGACTCGATTGCACTCGGATCCACAGGCGAAATGGTCTTCACTGAGTTGCTTGCATGCAATGATGAGGATGCCGTTGACTTTATGCTGCTGTCGCTCAAATGGTCTGCCAGGTGTTGCTGTTGTTGATGTTGTTGCTGTGGCTGCTGTTGACCCTGCTGCTGCTGTTGTTGTTGTTGCTGCACTTGTTGTTGCATTGGCTGCTGCTGCTGCTGCAGCGGCTGATGAACGTGCTGGTGGCCATGCTGATACGGATGATGGCTCAGGTTGTGCACCTGGCTAGCATAGAGGCTGCTGTTGTTGCTGCTGCTGCTGCCGCTGCTGCTGTTGTTAATGGGCAGCTCCAGCTGCGATGAGCTGGACGAGGTGGACAAAAATGTGCGCACAGCATCCGAGTTGCTGCTGCTGTGCGTGATGCCCGAGTCGGGAGAGGTGTTGCAGCTAATTGAAGCAGGCACCGTATCGCCATCAATGGAACGGCGCGACTTGTCCAGCTCAGTGCTGGCAAAGGCCACCAGGCGATCAAAGCCGGAGCTAACGCGATGCTGCCAATGGGACTCATCGTCGGCCGCAATGACATCGTCTGTCATAGAAAACATAAGTAATAGGTTAGATAAATAGATATATGTAAGACCATAAAATCGATTGAGTGGAAAGCAGCAACAGCTACAGCCCGGACAGCTGCTGCGTGTGCTGATGCTCTTCTTGGTGTGTTGGTGTATGCGTATATATATATATATATATGTGTGTGTGTGTGTGTGTGTATGTGTGGCTGTGAGTGAGTGCTAGGCTGTGTGTGATCGATAACATTGGCGATGACGATAAAGCGACGTTTAGCTAAACCCTGAACACTTCGTAAGGTTGACTCAAATAAAGGCTAAATGGTGTCTGTGTATGGAGTTGGAATTGCGGCGTGTGTGTGCGTGTGTATAAAGATTAAATTAGAGCGTTATAAAAAAGATCAGGAAAATCATAAATAAAATCAAAATCAAAATAAAAATAAAAATAAAAATAAAATGAAATTAAAATGAAGGAAAAGAGGAGAAATTAACCAATTAGGCGCAACAGAACTTACCTCATGCTCATGTTTTAATTTATATATGTGTATATAACATAATATACTAGATAAATTTTGTTTTCAATTCGGTTAGATTAAATTATTGAACGTAAAATAAATTATGTTTTGTCTTTTTATATGTTTTTTTCTTTTCTTTTGTTTTTTGTTTTTTTTTTTTGATAAGTATATTAGATGTGGTTTTATTTTGTACTCTGCTTCTCAACAACAACACAATACGTTTTACGTTTTGGCATTCTGTAGGGATTTTCGTCTTGATTTCAATTATTTGTTTTTTAATTAATTTTTCTTTTTTGCTTTTTTTTTGTAATTTTTTGGGTTTTGGTATTGAAAGTCTTGAGGTATTTAATGGTTGTTATTATTATTATTATTGTTACTACTACTATCGGCCACAACAAATCCATTAGAATTGGTAGCTGTTTGTTTCGTGGCGCCAGACATAGTCGAAGTCGGCGTGCGAAGTCGACGTCTGGGATCGTAATTAGTTATAGAACGATGCGTTGCCGAATCGGTAACTGTATGGGAGTAGAGCATAATAGAAGGGATATAAAGTCGAGTTTTGGATAAGTAACGAGGCGCTTGTTTTTTAATCAATTTTGTCCCTTGTTCGATAAATATTTCATGTTTTGTTTTTTTTTTTAGTAATTATTTGAAAATTAATTATGCAAAAATAACATTCCAGAGGAGATTGTTAATATTCAGTAAAAAAATATTTTAAGTTGAATTATGTATGTTTTTTACAAAGAGCTTTTTATGTATGTATGTATGCGTGTCTCATGTGTAAATTAATATTTTTCTTATGAATTTAATGATATATTTGGCATGACGCGAATAATTGGATGAAAATTAGCGTAGAATGTTGCATGTTTTCGGCAGTTGTTCGTTTATAATCATTATTTGTTTATACTTTATGCAAAATAGTGTTAATAATTTGTTTACACTGACAACATCATGTCAATGGATCGCAGATTTTGTTCTTTTGTATCTGTTAGTAATACAGTAACTTTAAATACATATAAATATATATTTAAAGCAACGTTAGTTCACTTTCTTATTTTCCAATTTTTCTTTTATATATTTTGATAATATTTGTACATTTAGGAATTTTCTCATTTAATTTATTCTGAGATTTGTCAAGCTTTTTTAAACTGCTTTTGTAAACATATGATAATTTAAAACATGATATATTAATTCCAAATGAAGCTAATATTTTTAGACAGTGATAATGGAATAAAAATCAAAAGGATTTCTTTATGTGGCATAAAATATATTATTTTGGGATCTTTCGAAAGATCTTGTTCCTTGTTTCTTGTTGAGCAATGTTTCAGAATTTTATTTATATATTTGTTTATATTTGTATTTTCATTTTGACTTTTGATAAATAGGCGCTCATAGCATCCGTTATCCGTTAAGCAATATATGTTAACTAAAGTAGATTAGTTTTATATTTTTCGTTTTGTTATTTTCATGTTAGAGGAAAGCATTAAAAGTAGTTGTAGGGAAATAATAAGTTAAACTAAAAAATAAAAGTGCAAATAATAAAGAAAAATGCAATATTGTGAGGAGGTAACAAAGCAAACTACGGACAACACACAACATGGATAAAATAAAATCCTTTAAACTTAAGCTCCGACAGCAAGGCCGAAAATATTTGGTTATCGTTTATATATTTACAAATAATTGCATTAATAAAAAAAATGTAAAGTGTATAAAATGTATAAAATGTGTAAAATGTGTAGAATATGCGTGTGGATCAAGCGGTGGGATTGCATTTAGCTAGTGCTGCTTGAGCTGCTAGTGGAGCTCGAGGATGAGGCGCTGTCAGTGTCTGAGTTGTCATCATTGGATGAATCGGAGACGTTTGACCGTCTGCTCGTAATGGTAAGATCTTGAGCCACCACTTGGGTGGCGAGTCGAGTTTGATAGTGGTGCAATTGATGATATTGTACATGTGCTGGTGGTGCGTGTGGTGCATGGAATTCGCGTGTGTGTGATGCTGTGGCTATGTCTTGGTATACAAATGGCTTACCGTCATCGCCGCCATTGGAGCGCTGGCCGCCCACTATGGTGGGCGTGATGCTGTGACTGCTTTGATGCAAGGCACGCAACTGCTGCTGCGCATGCGGATGTGGTTTCTGCTGATGGTGGTGCAGCTGCTGGTGATTCGTCGATAGCTGCAGCGGCCGCTCATCGCCCATCAGCGAGTTGATCTCGGGACTCATAAGCAGCGGCGGCTCCACAAGCAGCTTGCTACGTCTGCCACACGATGAGGATGAAGATGACGGCGTCGGCGATGGTGTGGTGGCATCATGTGCAGGTGGCGGCAGCACTGACCCACCGTTGCTATTCGCATACAGATGCTGATGCGCATGGGCAGGTGGCTGCTGCTCGAAATGCGCCAATTTGGCAGGTCGCGAAGGCTGTTGATGTGAGGCCAAAGGCGAACTTCGCTTAATGCCCACTACGAAAATAAAAATACGTATAAATAACTGTTACACAAGGTGCGTGAATTTATATAGCTTACGCTCCACTTTGTGTGGCGTGCCATTGATATTGCCAGCGGCTGGGTGATGATGCGGCGGCGGCTGCTGCTGCTGCTGCTGCTGCTGCTGATGGTAGCTGTGAGCAGGCGGCGCCTGATGCGCAAAATGCGGCGCCAATTCCAATGATGATGAAGTCGCGGCAGCTGCGCGTCGCTGTCGCTCCTCGTTCTCCTCCTTGTATTTGCGTGCGCGCACATGATCCTGCAGCGAGGCGGCTAGTCCTGCAAACAATGAACAAGCTTCATTAGCAAAGTGGATAAAAAAAACAGTTTTAAAATGTGGCATCATCTCAGAAACAAACTCGGATTCGATCTAGCATGGGAAGCACTGCATATCTAACGCCCTAAGATGACACCACAACAATCGTCAAACAATGCAATACGAAAAGCTGTTCATCAATTCATCCATTGAGTATCGTTAGTTGTACTACGTATTCTATATGTGGTTTGATTACTTCTTATGCATATGGATGACATCCTTTGGAGTCTTCTTTCTAAATTTTTAGATTTGTATATAAATTGGTAGTTTGTATTATTTTTTAGGTTTACGTATGTGTAACATATAATGGCAAGTAAATAATTCACTTTGTATTTTTTTTTACTCAGATCGTCTCAGGCAGCAGCTGCCTTCATTCCATCTATCCAAATCCTATTGGAATTCAGCTTATTTCATTCGGTTTTTCAATTTAATAATATAAATGGGAAACTTAGCATGCCAAAGAAGTATTTTAATTTTTGCTTAAGATCTTTTAAATGCTTCTTCTTTATAAGCTAATATTATTAATTGTTAATGATGATTTTTAATCAAATTTTCATTTATGCATAGCTCGAACACTCTCAGAGCTATAGAGAAAAGTTTACACAACTTTCAAATATTTTAAATATTTGATTGTCCAGGGTATTTGCAATTCGGACACTCCCCTACTTTCTGCTATTTGGCACTTACCTTCCAATGGCGGGTTGGCACCATTTAGGCGTGGTGCGCGCAACGTGCTGGCACCGCCCACTGTAGACTTTGACTTCTGATGTTGCTGTTGCTGCTGCTGATGGTGTTGCTGCTGCTGCTGTTGTTGTTGCTGCTCCTCGTGGAAGTATGCCTCAATACAGCCCATCATTTCGGCCCGCGGCAATGCTACCGACTGATAATCGCGTCCAGTACGCGCCGGCGTGGCGCCACGTGCTCCCGGCTGAGGTTTGTGGGCATAGGCGACATGAGCCAAGGTGGCCAGGTTGTTGCTGGAGCTCGATGCCGCCTGGCTGTAGTTGGTCGGCTGTGGCTCTGACGCGTCTTCGTTGAGCGGTCGAACGTGCACGCGTTCCGGTCGCTGAGCATTCAGATTGATGAGCAGCCGTTCATTGGTGCGATCTGCTAGGAAAGCGCGTTCCATAAAGTGCGCACCACTTGCGCCGCTGCCGCTGCCAGTGCTCATGTTGACCGCCGCATTGATGATGCTCTGATGGGAGATTTCCAGTGTGCGTTCGATTTCACCAGTGACTAGATCACCGATGGTCTTGCCCGATGTTACCGGAGGCGCCAGTGCCATGGGCGGTGGTGTGGGTAGCGCCTGTGGCGGCTGGTTCAGTTTCTCCTGCGAGAGGTGCCGACGCAAAGCCATTTTGGCAGGCGACACCTGCGTGTAGTCTGGCTGCGAGCTGTTGGAGCTTGGTCGACTTGGCGGTCGAACTGACAGACGTTCCACACGGTAGCCAGCATAGTCCGAGTTGGCGGAGCTGGCGCGTGGCAACAGCTCTAAGCTGTGTTGCTGCGGCTGTTGGTGTTGGTGTTGGTGTTGCTGCTGCTGTTGCTGCTGCTGTTGTTCTGCAAGTTGCTCGCGACTACCTGAACGCTGCAACAGATTCTCTGCTGGCGCCTTGAACTCTGCCGAAATGCCCGGCCCCTGATGATGATGATGTAGGTGTCCGAGTTGTGCATGATGTGCAAGTTGATGCTGTTGTTGTTGCTGCTGCTGCAACTGTTGTTGCTGCTGCTGCTGCTGCTGCTGCTGCAGTCGCTGTTGTGCCACATGCGCCAACATGAGCGCATGCTGCTGTTGTTGCTGCTGCTGCGCCATAAAGTGATCGTAGCTGTTGGCGCTTACCGAGGCTCGTCGCCGATGAAAGCCTAAATCTGCGGACGTGGGCGGTGCTGCAGTCGAGACGCCGTGGCTAGCATAGAGCGTTGCCATGTGCGCCGAAGAAGCAGCTGACGAGGGCGGCGGCGGTGGTGGCGGCGGCGGCGCCGATGCACCCGGTCTTGCTGGCGAGTACTTGGACTCCTTCAGCACTACCGTCTGCCCATATTTGCTGGACAGCTGCTGCAGTTGCTGCTGCTGCTGTTGGTGATGTTGTTGTTGTTGCTTGCTGCTCATGTAGGCGCTGCCATACGGCAAATTGGCAGGCGGCGGCGGCGCCGTGGAGGCAGCTGCTGCAGCCCGCGGGCCCGGCAGCGGCGGCGTTATCGGCGAGATCGTCGTGTTCGCATTCAAATGCATCAGACCCTGCGTCGAGACGGTGATGATGTTGTGCAAATTGTTGCCGCTTGTTGTTTGGGCCATTTGCTTGCTGCGCTTCGACACGGGCGACTGCATCGGTGCTGGCGGCGTCTCTATGATGGGCATGGCCTTGCTGCGCTGCTCCTGGTCCTCATTGAGCGCTGATGTTATGATGCTCTTCAGCCTATCCTCGAAGTTGGCCACTTTAGGCGATTCCTGCTTGCGACCCAGTCCCGGCAGCTCGCACTTGGGCAGCAGCACGGCTTGTTGTTGTATCTGTTGCTGTGGTTGTTGTTGCACCTGAGATTGCTGCTTGGGCGCTGGCATCAGCGTACTATCCTTGTACAGTGCAGGCGAGGTCTTCGGCTCTGTTTTGGGCTTGCCATTCACAAAGTTAATGGCGTTGACAGCGTTGCTGGCGCCGCTGGCGCTGACCGCAGTTGGCGGCGGCTGAAATTTGCCCGCCTCAACCTGGCGACAGGTCTCCAGTATCTTTTGGGCCAGCACCTCTGGATTGCTCTCTTGTATTTTGCCCACCTCCGGCACCTCGGGCCACTCCTGCGAGCGTGCACGATGCTCGCGGCTGCGACGCGACGCCTTCCCACTTGCCAGCTTGCTGCAATTTGTCGGCACCGTAGGCGTTGCAGCATTTGCCGTTATGGTTGGGGCGCCACTAGCCAGGCTGATGTTTGTGCCCTGGGCAAGCAACGCCGCGGCCGTGCTGCGTTCTTCGGCTGTCTTCTGCAGTGAGCTTGTCTCCTGTTCGATGGTGGAAACCTGTGCATACAGCTTCTTGCGCTGGCTCAGCGTATTGGCTATTTCCTTCAGCACCAGCTCCTGGGCAGCTGTTTCGGACAGCTCCAGGGGCAACTCGAGCTTAATCTTGCTGTTGACGCCATTGACGCTGCATAGCTTCTGATACTCGGGCAGATGCTTCAGCTGCTTGCTCAGCAGCAATTTCTGTTCGCTCTCATAGGCGGTGACCTCGTTGCGCATCTTGCTGACTGCATGCTGCAGATCCTTGTGCCGTCCGACAATCTCCTTGGCCTGTGCAATCAGATCATTGGGCGAGTTCACGTTTATGCCCAGCTCATTCATGCGCACCTTCAGCAGCGTCACGCTGTCGTCGATCAGCACTTTGATCTGCTTGTCCAGCTGACTGGCTCGATTCTTTAAGCGCGCCATCCGCTCCTGCTCCTGGGCTATTTGCTTCTGCACCTGCGGCAAATATGCGCTCGAGCGCATCTGCTCGATAATTGTCATATATTGAGAGCGGAACACGTCGAGCAGTATTTGCAGGGCATACGGCGTATCCTGTGGAGCTGTGGGTATGTCCAGTTCGCGATGCGACATGTCGCCAGTGAGCAGCGACGTCAGCTGCTGATCAACTGTGCCTGGTGCTGCGGGCAGCTTCTTTGTCATCGCATCCAACGAGGTGCTTAGCACCGTCTGCTTGTGGAGCACATCCAGGCCGGCAATCTTCAAGCATTTGCGGCCACGTTGGCCCTTCTTCATGCGGCCCTTGCGCCCGGGCCCGGCACTGGCCGCACGCGGCTGATCCTCCTTGCTGCTGGAGTCCTTGCTGGCCGAAGCGGACGTGGCGGATGCAGCAACTGCGACGGCAGCTGCCTCCTCGGCTTCACGCTGAGCAGCCGCTGCCGATTTGCTGGCAATGGCCGCTTTGCGTGTTAGCTTCTTGCGCTTTTTCAGCGTTGAGACGGCGCGCGGGGCACGTCCCTGGTGGCTATTGCTGTTGTTGCTGTTGCTATTGTTGTTCTCCTCATCGTCTGACTGGGAGCTCTTGCCCTTGGAACTGCACCAATCCGACCACACTTTGCGCGTCATTGGCCCATTCGAGGCGGATGTGGTGTTGGTGGCTGTGGTGGTGTTTCCGCAATTTCCATTGTTCACCTCCCCATCGCCATCGCTCTCCGTGCTGCTGTCCATATTCAGATTGCGCTGCTGTATCTGTTGTTGTTGTTGCTGCAACTGTGGCTGTTGCTGCTGCTGCTGTTGCTGCTGCTGTGCACTTGCCAGCTGCTGGCGCGTCTTGGAGGCGGGTAATCCACCGCCACCGCCGCCGCTAACATTCGCCGGCGATTGCGACTGATGCCGCTGCTGCTGAGCGGGACCGTTGAATAGCTCCCTCTCCCGCTCGCGCTGCTGTTCCCGCTGCTCCCGCTGTTGGCTGTTGTTATTGTGCTGGTTGTTGTTGTTGTTGTGGTTATTGTTGTGCTGGCCTGTGTTAGCCTCACGCTTGGCGCGATCGCGTGTGGTGCGCACGGTGCCTAAAAGACATTAGCAGACAAGAATTGTCGATTAGAAACGTTTAGCTGTTATTAAGCACTCAATTTATAAGCCTTTTCATTTAACAATAACAATGTAAGCAAAAATTAATCATTTATTCGATCTCCTACAAATGTTTTAAGCAGATTTTTGCTATGGGTTGCTAAAATATATAAAGTGAAACCTTTTAACTAATTTATTTAAATAAAACTTTATTCAAATAAATTATTTTAATTTCAAATTTAAAATCTGCATTTCATTTAAACATCAAACAGTTCTTAAATATTATATCGATTGTAAACATTTATAACATTTACTTATGGCCAAATCATGCAAGCTTAGTTCAAGATGGCTAATAATACTTTAAGATAAGAGTTCCTTAAACTCATTTCTAATTTTCCTATGGCATTTCCTTAAATCTTTCGCATATCTTAGCCCTAAGAAAACATTTTCTTAGATATCTAACGAATACAGATCGTTTCAACTTAAGATACTTAGCGAAAATGACTGATTGCAAATGACAGCGAATGATGATGTTATGACTGACTGACTGACTGACTGATTTGATCATGATTGATACTCGAGTTTGATTTGTGACTGAGTGAACGTGTGCTGTTTATAGATATCATCGTCTGCTTCGCCGTCAAGCGCCCAGCTACTTACCCACATGCTCGTGATCACCGCCCTTTGTTTTCAGGCGCTGAAAGTAGCGCTCTAATATCGTGCGATCGATCACATGCAAATAATATGAAACCGGCTTGCAGGTCCACGAAACGGAACCCTTCAGTGGCGGTATCTCGCTCACGTGCATAATGGTGCCAATATCGGAGAGGTTTCTGTAATCAAAATGCAATAAATTTGATGCGTGTAATATTATTAACATAGTTCCATGCCCTACATACCGATCTGTGATACGAAAGTTGAGTGGACAGAACGATTTGGATGAAACAACTCGGGCGCCATCTCGCAAATCGGCAAATCGCTCCTTTAGCTGGTGATCGACGGTCGGACCGAAGGCGAAGTTATTGACAAACACCAGCGTAGAGGAGGTGATCTTCTCGCGATGCTCGTCCACCAGAAAGTCGCCTTTGATCAGCTTGTACTCGCAGTAGCGCTTGCCAAACCAGCCCATGTACTGGCGAAATATCTGATCCATGCGTTCGGCATAGCGAGCGGGCGTATCGGCCTTCTCGATTCCAATGCAGGTCTTGAGGGGAAACGATCCGGCCATTTGCAGTACCACCTGTCCCACACCGGAACCGAGATCAATGAACGTGTCCTCCTTGCTAACGGTGACGTGTTTGAGCATTTGCTGTACCAGCTCGTACGACGTCTCGCCATAGACCTCCGGCGAGAAGGGCTCGTACTGATTGAGTTTGTCCGGATCGAGCACGGCAGCATTGTAAACTAATTGCAGTATGTGTCTTAAAAGGCTAGGGTGAGCGAATTTATTCAAACGCTCGGCGGGCAGTGACGTTCCTTTTTCCTGCAAATCAAATCAATTAATCAAATTAATTATTTCGTTTTTCACGAATTGATATCGTAAGGAATCAGCTCTTAGCAACTGAAGCAATATTGTTGCGAATCAAAAGTACTAGAAATTGTATTTGTTAGTTATATGAATTCATTATTTATTTATTTTTTTATAAATATTTTGAATGAAAAACTAGTTTTTTGCCTTTGAAAAACTTCAAATTGAAATAACTTCTTTGAGATGAAGTTCTCTAAAACTGATTTTATTTTTGGCAATATTTCTGATATTTCTCTTCAATATGGGCAGAAGGCCAAATGGATTCGGGGTAACAGAGGTACTTACCAATGCAACAATACTGTCGACGGCTTTGTTGAAGCGATCGACAAGATTTGTCATAGTCTTATAGCAGGCAGTGTCAATGTGATTGAGGTTAATCTCCTCGAATGCGGATGAAATGGATGGCAGCTCATCGCATACGAATTTAATTGTATCGATAATGTCGATGCCATTGTCATGCTTATCCTGTCCATGTCCAACCTGCAGTGGCCAGGCAAATGTGATGGTATCGGAGGAGCCAGCTGGCGAGCGCAACACCAAGTCTTTGACTTGAGGTGTTGCCATATTTTTCCCTTGCCAGCTGTGCGGCAAAAGGTCAATGGGATTCGAAACACCAAAACAACGTCACGTTGTTGTTTTATGCTTCGCAATTGTTGTTCCTCTTCTTCTTCTTATAATTGTTGTTATTGTTTTATATAAATGTGTGTATATATTATGTATATTGCTGTTCTAATTATTGTAGTTGCTTGCAGTGTTCTTGTATAATGGGCATGAGCGTTCATATATCGTGTGCTATATATGCATAATGAATATATTGATGCTGATGCAGATGCTGATTATGATGATGATCAAAAACGTTGGCAGAGGAGCAGTGTTAAGGCGTTACGCGTTACGTTACGTTACGTTTCGTTTCGTTAACCTTGCGTTACAATTACGATTACGATGATACGTTGTTTGTTTGTTTGTTTGTCGTCTTAGGAACAGTGGCAGCGTTGGGTAAATTATGTTAACGTGTATATTGGGCTAAATTAAAAACAAAACAAAAAGAGGGAGAAACTATCCTCTACTTGATTCTGTGTGCGTGACGTTGTGTTACGTTATGGCTGCTACAATCTCTGCTGCTGCTGCTGCTGCTGCTGCCGCTCCCACCCACAAGTTTGTCTCGCGCCGTCTTCTCTGCCTCCTCTACGTCGTCGTCTTCCTCCAGCAGCAGTGGCAGCCAATGGAACAGCAACAAAATACAAAAGTAACTGATGATAGTTGCGTAATTTAATATTTTGCTGTATGTTAAGAAAACGATGCATTTTCCTCAGTGTTCGACAACATTTTCGACTGTCATGTGCCGATGCTAGTGTTGTTGTTGTTGCTCTTGCTGTTGCATTAGTTGCATTTCATCGCCGTGCATTCCAGCAATTGCATTTCATATCACTGCATGGCTCGGCACGCGCGCTTTGCCCACTTACGTTACGCATGGTGCGCGCGCGTCGTTCAGTGTTGCAAAACGTCGTATGTGTGTTTAGAATTCAGATATAATAAGTTTTTTGAAACAAACACTTTAACTATTATTGTGTTTTTATTGTTCTTTTTTGTGGGGGTCTGCAAGAAGAAAGAGAAGAAACAGAGAAATGGTAGAACATAAATAAATAAGGCTTGAAAATGCTTTAAACATAATCAAATTAATTAAAAAACTAATAAATAAATAAATCTTTTAAGATGACAGCAGGGAAATTGTGAGATACTGAATATGAGCGTGCTTTAAGCCAATGTCAAGTAAATATAGAAGCTGCGCCATGCGAGTGTTTCGATGAAGGAATACGTAATTATTTATTATTAATAAATGAGTGCGCATAAATGTGAGAAACGGAGTAACGCACTAAGATACGTAACACTATATATATATAAAACTCTAAATCTAAGTTAATCAGTTATCAATATCAGCGACTTATCAGGTAAGAGGGACTCATAGCCTATGCATTACCAAAGTTTTGGAAGGTCAAATAAACTAAGCAGCACATACAATTTTATAGACTTAGTTGAAAATATATCAATAAACAAATATTCAATATTATATAAATTCCAATTAAGTTTAATATATACAACAATTTCAATTATAGCCGATAAATAATATGGGCCGGTGTCGAGGCATTTTTCAGTATAACGGAAGCGATTAATAGATTATTTGGAGCTAAGTCAACTGCAAACGCAAACATAAATATTTTATTACATAGCAATTACAATAAAAATTAGAGAATGTAAAAGAAATCCTTGACTTTTGTCAACTCACACAAGAAAATTTAGTGCCAAATCTGACATTGATGCTTCAATTTCTCTAAAAGCCTTTTTTACAAGACTTAATGTAACGCTTTGTGTTTCTAATGCTCATTTCTAATGCAAGGCACGTTTTAAAATGTGATTTGGCTTGGCTTTCTATGTGAGCGTGTGCGTGTCCCACAGGATGACAATGGGACTTCATTAGCATAGCCAAAAACGTCGAGAACAGCCAAAGTTATTTTAATTCCCACCATGGCAGAGGCTGAGGCGGGTGGGTATTAAGGAAATGCTGTAGAAAATCGATAACAACCCCAAAACCGTCTTCATTGGGCAAATGGAAATGGGAATGAGGCTTAATTAAAGCTTTGGGCATTGCTAACGTTTTTAAAGCACTTCGCTCGGACGTCAAAACATTTGGCCACACAAGCGACACATTAAAGTGTATATATATATATATATATATATGTATATGCATATGGATAGATTTAACAGAAACCCAAACCAATCCTGTCTGGCAACTATTCTGACACACACACGCACACATAGGCGCATATACATGCACATAAATACCGCTATGTATATGAATCTATTCAATATTCCCATGCATCCACGTGTGCCGTCCGTGTGCTGTGCATCTGTATATCGTCGAGTGTGTGTGAATTCTGTGCGAATGCTGCTGTATCTGTTGGCCTGACAACACGACAACAGTCAACAACGGCGCCGCATTTGGCCGACCCCCTGCCTCGACCCAACCGACATGTATCCTGTTCGAGCGGTTAACCTCTCTGTGACCAGAGACCATTGTCTACCCAGACATGTCTGCTGTGTGCGTGCGTGCGCGCGCCATTTACTTGAGCTTAATGACACAGCCAATTAAGCATCCGCCCTGTCAGACACAACAGCTCATTAACTACATTATTTCAATCAATAATTAGAAATTAGTTTGCTGTACTTGCTCTTTTCCATTATGCATAACTAACTGAATAAGCTCTTAGTTAACAGACCAAATGCTCTAGAAGTGAGTTCTAATAAAATTTAGTTGCTGTGAAGCATAACTAAATCATTTAGTTATTTAACTTGGAAACTCAAACTGCAGAAATTGATTTCATTTCGCGTAGTTATTTCCAGCTTTAATTATATATTTTTTTCAACTTTGGCAATCATAATTAGAGAACACAGAGAAACCAGCTACATGCTCCAGTTCATTGAGAGCATTTTGTATGCTTCATACACTTAAATCAAAGCACATTTTTTTATAATTTATATGAATTAGTCATAATGAAATTCTCATGTATTTGTTGTCAGTATTTTCTGATATTCAGTGTGTATTAAATGACTTTAAACAAGTGATTGTATAATTCTAGAAACTTTAGTTCTCAGTTAATAAATTAATAGATGCCCAGCTGTATGTATATATATTTTATTATATTTTTATATAATTATATTATTATATTATTATATTATTATATTATTGTATTTTTATATTTTTATATTATTATATTATTATTTAAAACTTTGTTATCAAAGAATATATGACTATATATAGTATTTAATCCAATAAAAATAATATAATATAAATTAATAATTATTTTTTCTTTAAACACGAATTGCTTGTTGAACATTTCCAAACTGGCTTTAAGTTGAAAAACAGCTAAAGATATTACAGCTAGGTCTTTCCGCTTTAAGAGAAAGGACTACAGCTGCTTCAGTTACCAAGCAAATCTATAATAAAATCGAAATATAAACCTTTTTTTCAGTTATTTATCCTATATAGTCGGGGCATCTGTGTAGTAGCGTAATTCAGTCGAATAAACTATCTTAATTGTTGTGCCTGACTGTGAAGGCGTGACACACATTTTCATTCCATGCCCACTCGTTCGCACACACACACGCACACCCATACACACGCTTGGTTGACACAATTACAGAGCGCAAGAACTTTGCCACGATTTTAATCAACTTAAAAAGCTCTCACACAGTCCATTCCGCCCTCCACACGCTCCACTCCACTCTGTTTGCTAGCTCTCTGGGGAGAGCACTTTTGCATGCAATATGTCTGGTGGCTGACACACGCGAGCAGCGCTGCCAACGCCCACGCGAGCAACTTATTTTCTTCCTCTTGCAACTGTTTCTGTTGTTGTCGGCTCGTGCCCTGTTTTTGCTTTTTTATTCTTAACGACTTTTGCCTGCCACGCAGTCTGTGCCTGTGTCTGTGTTGTGTTCTGTTTGTTGATATCGCAACTGAAACAACAATAAAAATAAATCGCAAATAAAATGCGAGCAAAATAGCTAAAACTAAACTGAATAAAAATTTCAGATGCGTGTGCCTCTCGCTCTATCTCCCTCTATCCCTCTTTCCTACTCTCTCTCGCTCTCTTCATTTATTGTGCCTTTAATTTTAGCGTGCGCTTTGCTATTTTTATGAGCACTTTTATTAATATGATTGGTCATTCTGATTGCTCATTTTTAGCGGCTGTGGGTCAAGGTCATGTGACAAATAATTAAAATTAACACAATTTTCTGTGTGCCGCAAGGCAGCGAGTAAATAATGCACAATTTGACCGGTCTATGTGTGTGTGTGTGTCATCTGTCAGTTAAAATATCTATTAAATGCCGTTACAGCACACAGTTTTTGTTCGTCCACGCCCACCTAGACCATATATCATACTCTGCCCACTTGTTGTTTGGTGTAATTACATTATTTCGTCGTTGACTACGAATATAATTTGATTATTGAGTTCTACACACACATACACACACACACACACGTGTTTACACAAATTGTTGCGAACAACATCACCAACAAGAACAACAACTACAACTACTATTTTATATACAATATATTCATGGTCACGTGTTTGTTGTGATTGCATGACTGAAGGTTAAATTAGTTTACGCTTTGATTTCGCGTTAATTTGTTTGACTTTTATTGCTGTTGTTTCTTCTTGTCGGCTCTAATTGTTGTTCTGCTTCTAATTGTTACACAAAAACTTCAACAATATATGTTTTTCTGTTTAGTTTATTAGCGCAAGGTCTGCGCCTTTTGAGGTCAAGCATTCTGTAAATAAATACTTTTGAGCGCAAGAAAAATATGTGTAAAAACAATTCCAGATCGAGCAATTGCCATTTTCCGTTTATTTATAGACGCTTCTAAGGAATTTCATTGAAATATTTGTAAAGTTATCAAATTGTATAAATATACGTGAAATTATTAAAAATTATAAGCCAAAGCAACAGCTGCAATTGAGCTTTCAGCACAAAATATTTACGTATTTGCGTAAGTATATATTTAAATATATGCATGTATTGGAATCTGTTCTCTGGAATTACAAATGTAAAGAAGAAACGCGCCAATCGCATTGCTCCTTTGTTTTTTGTTGTTGTTACTTTGCCTTGTTATTGCTGCAAGTATGTGGCGACAGACATTTCGTGTTATCATTGAGGTCATGCGCTCAATATTGATAATCAATAATGCGTTCTATACGTATGCACACGTACATACATAAATACACAGGCATGCATGTGTGTGTGTTGCTTTGTGTACACAGTATTAAAGCAGTTTCTGAATAATAAACAAATGAGAAAGCCTTGATTAAGTCATATAGCATTTCAATTATCATATATATAAATATATATATATATATTGTTTTTGCATATTTTATTTTATTTTTCATATATTTTCTTTTACTCAATTTCATAAATACATAAAATGCAATCTTTGTAGAACAGAGCAAACGTAAGTAGAACAGTTCTCAGCAATCTGTAGTTGTGCGGCTGTTATACTGTTATACGCGCAGCGGGAACTTAAGGCCGTCAAATGTTTGCAGCTCTTTCTAATCAGAATCGCCGAACAAACAACGTTCTGATAAGATAAAGCATTTGACCTAGTTGCACTTAAAAACTAAGATATATGTACATATATATATATATATATGTATATTGCAACAATAAAAAATAAATAAAAAAAAACATGTGACTGCCAACCACAATTGGAAGTTGTATTTATTTATATTTTTTACAGCTTGCAGCAAGTCAAACACCTGCGCTGTCGATCGCAAGCGAACAGTAGCAAGAGCCAGTGTAAGGTGAAGGCACACTCAGGTGTAGTAGGTCCGAAAGAGGGTAACTTTTTCGTAACATACCCTTGACACAAGACTAGTAGAGGAAATAGAATAAAATTTTGGTTTTCCTTTTCACTTTATGCAAGTTTTTTCCTAATCTAAATATAGCTGTAGATTAATAACGGATGTTTAAATCTTATCGATTATTAATACTAAACGATAAGGAAACGGAAATATAAATATACTCAATGATCAAATCGATGA